TCGTCGTCTCTCTCTCTCTCTCTCTCTCTCTCTCTCTCTCTCTCTCTCTCGCGCAAGGATGCTGCCATGCTTTTTATAGTATCCTTGGAGGCCAGGACAAAATTTGTTCGAACCTGCTCAACCGTAACTGATTCGACACTCGGACTCGCGCGGGCGAGTTTAATGCTCGGTGCCCGCGACCGAATTGATACGCGACGTCGTTCATGATACCCTGATGGGGTGCCGTCTGAGTTTGGTATCAAATGGCTGCCGACGATAGAACGAGTCACGAAGCAAAACGAGGATCCCGCATCGTCATCTTGCGCCGCCGAGTGAGAACAGCGATGGTGCCATGACATCGGCGGTAATGGACGGGATACGTCTGCTCGAATGTAACGCATGTCATCTGCGATATCAATGTCGACATTTACTATATAGATCATCATAGAATTTTTATATAATATCTTTTTTAATCACGAATTCCATCACCAATTTCATTTTGTTTAAAAAAAACAAATTTTATAACGTAAATAAACGTTAATAAATAAATCCTGAATTAAAATTCCATGGAAGCGAAGTCTCTGATATTATCGATCTACTTTCCAAATAGCGCTCGTAAAAAACAAGCATTTTTATTAAAATAAAATTAACTCTCTTAACTTTAGACTGTTTAAAAAAAGCTGTCATTAAAATGGAATATTAATATTTCTCTTGTCGACATTTTTACAGACAGATGTAACTTCTAGAAATTTATATAGCTGAAACAGTCGAGCATTCTCGTATCTCATAAACACCTGCGCTTGGTCCACGTGAAAATGACGAATAAGCATTCGTCTTGCCGGGTGCCATAGCTAAGTGAAGGAACCCATAACGCCGTCTTCGCGCATTTCATCAGATTGCCTCCGTCTTCTCGTGCACTCCTGATCGGCCGGCAGTCCCACTTTCTTTCAAAGCCGCTGAAGCGGCAAATGTTTTTATCCTCCGGGGGATTAACAAAGGGCGGCCGATTAGGCACTCATGAGCGATCCTGAGGCCTGATGTGATCCCGATCTTTCTGGAACCGTCTTCAGGGACGAGTACTCATCCTTTGGACACGCATACGTCGCACCGTGGAACGCGCGATGCACACGGCACGGGTCGATAATGGAATTAAGCGCGCGTGTGCTTTATTCGTTCACGCGTGCCGCATCGGCCCAATATATATTTGCATTTTTTTGTGCTATCGCATCACGTTGCACGCTATAACTCGCGAGGAAACGCAATAACAAATAGACCGAATTGCTAGATTTTACTTAGAAACTCGCGTTTCGAAGAAAAATAAAAATGAAAGAAAATTTCTTGAACGAATCATCGAGCGTAATTTTTTAAAAAATATGGATTTACAAATATTACGTTTATTACGTGCACAAAAGTTACAAAAATATAGAGATAGAAGATTGAAATTGTCGATATTGATTGTACGCCGCCAGAACCGCTATGCCGCTTGAACGTGGATTTGCGACTTTTCACAAATGCGTAACGCGCGCGGAACAAAACTCGTCGGTTATCTTTGAGATACGCGTCGCACGTCTCGGAGGTGTGGCTCCTGAGGGATGAGTCCACTTTGCATAGTCCTATGCTCCCCTGATCGCAGGTGTTTCGTATTACACGTGGCCGTAATCCCTGGAACACTCTGGACGACGTCGACGGGACGTTAACGGCGCGGTCGGCGATTCCGACGCGGCCGACGAGACCCGTGGGAATCCCCGTTCATAATTGGTGCCCGGACGTTCGTGTAAAATTAGCATATTAATAAGAAAGACGGCGACAGCGGCCAGGATAGTAGGATGAAACCGCAGGAGAACCCGAACGCCGCCGTGGTTCCTGCGGTCGACGCCGACGGTCGAGGATCCTTCGAGCCTCCTCGGACACTCTGCATCCCTGATGGCCGAGTCTCCGCATTTAGAACTCAATGGAGCGAAACTAATTGCCGTCATTATAACGCCATTGGATCCCGCCGGCGAACACGAAGACCACGATGCGCGCAGCGAATCCGTACATGTACACACAGATAACACAGATAACTATCAAATGCAATGCCCATAACTCCGTAGCTCCCGTTGAAACTCGCGTTTCCACTTTGCGATCTTTGCTCGTGATGTTATTCAATGTACATCCATTCCATCATCTCTCTTCGCCTGTATTTTTCGATATTTACGTAAGGTTTTTTTTTTTTTTTTTTATTCGGACAACAAAACTGCGAAATGCCACTTTTTACAACACAAAAGAATTCCATATTCGCAGTTTCGATATAAACGTACATTTTGCAATGTTTATTAAATGTATATTAATGATAATTCTCAATGTTGAATATCGTGTAAAAACGTGATAAAACGTGATTTCGGAGAAATGTAAAAGCCGACCTTTTCTGCCGGCAAACTCCGCAATGATGATGGTCTCCTGTTAGCGCGGATATCACTTTTCATTTTTTTCATATCTCATCATCAGATTTCTGTGGTTTGAGGTGGAGCGAGATATGGTCAGAGTGGACAGCCCTTTTTGCTATCTTAGAGACCTTTTCATCAACGGATCTTATTTCTTTTATCTAATAGTAAGCGAAGAAGTGCCGCGTACGTGTCCCGTACATTACGCTGCGGGAATGAAAAAAACACATATCTACGTCCATCATATAAAAATAATAATAACAAATGGAATTATAATTTACTCACTGACACTTTCTAATATAACATTTTTAGAAATTCTCTCTCAAGAATGTAACACCTAAGCCATTCGGCTAGAGTATTACAATGTTCGCCTAGCTACACGAGGAATGTAACTGAATGCATTCTCAAGCTCGTAAACGCGCTACCCTTCCGCGAAGGGCTGCGATCCTGGTCCGTCGTGTATTCGCGATTCGTTCAGCTCTTCTGCGTGAGTATCGATCACGTAGGAATTTCGCCTGGTGACGGACACGTCACCCTTCTCGACTCGTAGCTTCCGGGCCGAGATACATTCCTGGTGGGAGATGTATCGCGATAACCTGAGCCCGTTCTTCGCACTTTAGCACTTTTCGGTCCTGCGGGAATTCCCGATACAATATACACCCACCACGGGGGAGAGCGTTCGCGAGAGACATTCTAGTTCCTCGCGGTAATGCGACCCTGTCTCTCCGTGTTTCGCGAAAACGTCGACGACATCGCGCTCAGAAGAAGAAAGAGTCCGTGTAACGTAGATGCGACAAAATCAGTTAAACGACACACTTCCACGTGGTTTCCCGCTCCGATAAACGTTATGTAAATTACACGGACTCCCGAGGACGTCGCGGTGCGCGACACGAAGAGGCGCCCGATCGAAAGAACGAAACGTCGCGGGGATGACCGCGACGGAATCTCCGACGTGACGACCGCGAGGGGAAGGGAAGGGGGAGGGGTACGGACGGGGACGCGAATTATGACGGGAGAAAAGCGCATCGATGCCATATTACATGCGCAGTGTAAACAACTCCGTTACATCGGCATAGCAGGAGAATAAACGGGCCGAGGAGGTGACAGGGCGGGAAATCGCGAAACCAGAAGCACATATTATCGCGAAGCAAGAAGGTAGCGTCGTATCGTTGTCAATCATTTGTTACGCGCGCGTATCGATTCCGAGGAAGGATCGCGGCGAGGATTGACAACGCGACGTGCCGTTTATCTAAGATAATATAAATCTAAATTTGCGTGACGCGTTACGTGCGACAGTCACGCGTGTCGCGCGTGTTGCTTCGTGTAATTTTTATGTCTTGATATAATTAACGGTGATGTTCGCGCGCGATATTATTTGAGAACGGAATTTTTTCGCTGGGAACTACGACGAAGAGAAATGCTTGGTATTAAAATTTCTGAATTATTGCGAATAATATTAGTCGAATTGATCGGTGGCTGTAAATATGTAAATTGTATAATGGGTGATAGGAGAATTTTTGTAAGGGACACAAGGGTAGGCTCGGTCAAGGAAAAGACCGTAGATAGGGCGATTCATATCTCTCATATGTCGCAAGATAGGGAAGCAGGATGTATAGGAGCTAGGTTATGATGCGAGCACATCATATTTTCATGGTGCGTGATATCTTCTTACAGCAAGATTCTCATTCGCTACTCGCCGTGTGTCTGAATAACTTTATACGAAAAATATCCAATTGCTAGTATCTTACAACGTCATGTGCAGAGGTAAACTTAATTATTTAATATATTGTTATATTATTAATTATCAGTGTTTAGTATTTTGGAAATATTCATATGTTACAAACGAAGATTTTACTATTAAATTATTGTAAGATATAATTTAATATCATTTATGATTATTTTAAAAAGTTAAATAAATTATAAATAGAAAAGATTATATAGGAATTATATCTCATTAAATTAAAAAATATAACTCATTCAATTTTGTAAATAATGTTTGTAATTTATTAGTATTTTAGCAAAGTAAATTATTATGATTAAATTGTATGTGTTTATTATTGTAAATTTAAATATTTTTACTATTTACCAAAAGATGTATAAATCTAGATAATAAAATAAAACATATATGTATAATTTTATATTAAAAATAATAAAAGATAGTTTTAGATTCCTCTCTCTTGTCAATAAAATATTCCTGAAAGATTATAAGTACGATGTCCTTTATCTACCTTTAAACTATGATAAAATCCTGATCAAAATGCGTGAATATGTTACTACAGACTCGTGAACACGTTTTTTAAAACAATTTATTTTCATTTACGATTATAAACTATTAAAACGATTATAACTATTATAACGATTAAAAACTATTTTTATATCATAATTTGAGCAGATTTCAAATTAAGTTTCTTCTTTTTATTCTTATCAATTAGATTTTGAACAATTGTTTTTTAAGAAATAATCTAAACTTTCCTAATATAATAATTATGCAATGTATAATCACATTTATGTAATATAACTTTTAATTATTCATATACAATGTCTCAGAAATCTAAAATTTGATGATTCAAAAATTCTGTAAGATTGTTGATCTTACTATCTCTCATATCATATATGTAATCTTTGATCTTTTGCCTCCATGTAATGTAGTATCAGGCATGCAAAGCTCGAGTATCAGTAATTTCTACACTTAATATTCATATATCGAAATGTAATTTTCTGAAGCACACTTACGTCCTTTTCTTGGTATTGCGCCCTTCAACCTATAATACAGTAAGAAAAAAAGCGTTCGGATATTGGAAAAGTTTGAATATTCAAATAAAGTCTAAAAAATATTACGAATAAATATTTGTATTAAAGAATAACGGAATAACGTGCCCGAATAAACGGGATTGCTCCTGCTTTTTGTTCTTCATGATTTTTTGAAATGCGGCTGGTATCAGAAATCCAAAAAAATCGGATATTTACAATTTCATCCGTAAATTCTGTAAAATCATTACTCGAAGAGTCAGAGTGTCGTTTCGCAAAAAGCAGGAGCTGCACTGCATTCTTCTGTATTACGCCCTTCGGTCTTTCGATGTAACGCAGTACCAGGAATCCAAAATTCGAGCATCGTGCCGGGAAACGAAAGGCAAGTCGATATCTCGAGACTCTTGCATCCGACAAAGCGGAGTACCAGCAGACAGCAGTCAGTGGCCTCTGAAAACTCGTTTCGACTTGCCGCCTGCCGCTCGATCATTCCTCACGATCGGTTCCAGCGGTGCAGTGCGCGCGCGGCAAGGAGAAAGGAGCGTGAGAGGAGGGGGGAGAGGGGAGGCAAGCCAGCTGCTGGCGGCGCGGCCCTTGACACGACCCTTACGAGGGCCCGCGCGAGAGCGAGATCGCGACGGGCGCGAAGGAAGACCGGGTGGGATGAAGGGGAGACGGAGCGAGAGACGGAGACAGAATGAATACGTTCCAAGGCCAAACGAGCTCCAGCCGACTTCTGGGATCCTGCTAAAAATGCGTGGGCGCGGTCTCCCCGAGGGCTGGCCGAGGCCGTCGAAGGTCGCACCCTTTTTCGAGCGGCTCGCGCGCCCGGCCCTTCCGTCCAACCTCGCGGCTCCCAGCCGCGCCGGGCGACCGGCTTCGCTTTCCAACAGCCACACCGCCGCCGATCGCTCTCTCCTCCTTTCGCGCTGTCCGCGCGAGACTTCGGGGCCGCGAGGTTGGTCCAGCCGGCTTCCTTCGCCCTATCCTCGCCACCGATCCCCCGACACTGGCACCCGTTCCTCCGACACAAAAAACACACAAACGCACACGGACACACGTAGGCAGTGGCGGATACTCGTATAGGCGCGTATCGGACGAGACTTCCGAATACACGAGAGCTTTTCTCTCTACCTTACGATCTGCCGATTGTTCGAGGTAACGATGCCTTTCTCGCGGTTATCATCGCGATAGCTCTAGATTTAAAAAAAAAAAAAATATAAGTCGCACTTATGTTAGACTTCTATTTTCTATCTCGTGAAGATTCTTCCTTCGTCTTTTGGAAACGCTGTCGAATGTTCCTCCCGATTTTGGTGATTTATAAAAATTTTCCTGTTTTATTTGAAGATTAACTTGAATCCGGGGATCCGATTATCGAAATCCACCACTGCGTACACATTCACTCGCACACATACAGGCACAGTTTTGGACGATTCACACGCATGCTCGTTTACCCCATCCTGGAACCTACCCACGGTGTTCCACGCTGGGACACGACCAGCAATGCGCAATGCGCGCTGCGCGATTCATTAAAGGTTTCTGGAAGGGGCTTTCCACCCCCTGGCGGCAGTTTCAAGGGGTGCATCCCGTGTGTTTACGCATGCTGAAAGGACGATCCGTGTTGCTCGACTTGGGCGAGGGCAGGCGGGAGGGCTGGTCTTTTGCATCCCCGGGGTGGTGACTTTGCAGGATGGGTCAATCGATTGTAAGCCACGACGCTCGTTTGGGGATTGAGAAAACAGGGGTTGAGGAACCGCGGCATTCGTAGTATGTCGATTAAGAGCAGGTGGCTGCTGACACATTCGTCTATCTTCTTCTTCATTTACATAAAATCATAAAATATGATGTTAATGTTATAATAATGAAATTATAAAACATATAAAGATTATAAAACTATATATTTGTTTAATTATTACATTTATATTATATTTATAAAAAGTGCTACTTTCTTTTTTATCAAGACACTATTCGTAAATAATCTTGATTCTATTTATTTAAAGAATGTAAAAGAAATAGTAATTAAATAAATCTTCCTTCTTTTAATAAACCTTTCCTTATCTTTATTACATAATTATTACATAATTAAATATATTTATAATTTATTAATTAAATATATAATTTTAATTTCTTAATTATATTTATATAAAGTACGCATTACGCATACATATATATATTTTTTATTTTTAATTAATAATTAGGCACGAAAAATTCCAGAGATCTTAGAATCCGCATTATTTCAAGTCCACGCGCAATACACTGTTCAGTCAGTATAACAGAAATGCGCAAGAGCAATCAAGATATCGCACCGATATTACAACAGTATGGCTGCTTGAAGAGCTAGGAGAACATGAGGTACGGTCTCTTTTGACATCACATCTATTACATTGCGTGATATATATATACATACCTGTATATATACATATACGTATGTATACGTTTTCCGCTGCAATATACGTTGTTCTATCCAACGTGCAAACTTAACGTAAAATTTCTGGTCGATAGTTGCAGTCGATGTAACGAAAAATTACCTTTTATTTTTTATCAATTTATCGCGATACGATTATTAATGATAAATATCAGTCTATCAGTTTGTAGGAAATAAAAGAATTAATTTCCAACCGGTTCGATCTCGGCATACGTATTATTATCTCGATACTTGTTCTGCATGATTGCTTTGTTACATAATTTGTTTATATTCCCACCTATCTTCTATTAATAGAATTAATAGAATTTAATTTCAGTTCTGTTATGATCTTTTTTCTACTCTTTCTTCTTCTTTTAATGTAATATTTTTCGCAATACGCCACGAGGATAAGATTGCATATTGCAAAAAAAAATGTAACGAAATTTATTCTAGAAAACTACCTGTCGCACAACGTGCAACGTGCAACACAAATAGCGTAAGTCGCAGATTGCGGACGATCTTAATTAAAAGTAATTAGAAAAATAATGAGACTTTCATACGATTATCCTTGATTGATGTCATCTGGCGCGTTCCGGTCATCTGACTTGATGGCGAGCATATCGAACGACAAGATGTCCGACGCGAGTTCGACATGCAACAGATAGCCGTGATCCATGACAGGGCTCAATCACACATTAAAGATCCCGCTCGCCAATCGGCATCGTCTTCCGCTGGTTCATCGGCGGATGGTCAGTTCCTTGGGGTTCCTGTGTTCCTG